ACCCTGAGCCGGTGAGATTTGAACCGCTGACCTGCTGATCTAGCAGTAGCCTGCAGTGCTGCATTTAACCACTGTGCCACCTTGGCTCTGAGTTACCTCAGACGCCTCTGCTTTTCCTTCCACCGATTTAACAATCTTGTTATATTTTTATCTTGCCAAACAAATTTAGATATCCACTCCATTGTTTGAATGGTATATCTGTACTCAATGGTATATCTGTACTCAAAAATGGGCATTGTTTGAAAGAGAAATAGCATTCTGTGCTATTTGGACTCTTCCCAATAGTGACATTTGTAAATTAATCCATCTTGAGATATCTTTTTCACTTCATTCTATGCTTATAACATAGTTATTCTGAAATAATATACAGTTCATATTTTTCAAATTGATACATAAATATTTGTCTCAATCTGGTAAGTCTTTTTATTCATCAATACTAATTTATCCAAAGAGTCTTTACTCTTTCAGATGTTATTCATGCTAGACATTTTATTTCTTCCAAGTGCTATTATTTTCTGATTTCAGTCCTGAAATCTGCAATCACCAATTTGGTCAATTTTACAGCCCAGGAAGATTAATTCCTTTATTGTTTCAATAGTCTCATTGTCAATCTGTACTCTGACCTGTGTGTTCTTTGCAGTTGTTGTTACCTTTGTTTTCTTGATGTTAAGAAATTTTTCACTTTCATCTTTGACTCTCAGAATTAGCTACTCCAGATCCTCTTGGTTTCCATGAACAATATTGTATCAGCTGCATATAGGAAGTTGTCGATATTCCTACCACTGAATTTAATCTTAATCATAGATGCCTTCAAATGTGCATTTCTCATAACTTTCTGTATATGTTGAATAGTATAGGAGATAGGTATAGGTGATAGGATAGGATAGGATAGATAATAAGATGCAACTTTGCTGAGTGCCTTTTCCAATTCTGAAGCAAATTGTGTCTCCAAATTACATTCCTACAGTGTCTATAATGATCAGTCTATAATGACTGAAAGAGCTGGATATAATATGGATATTCCCAGTTCTTTGAGACAGTTCCAGAGTTTATGATGATCAACACAGTTGAACAATTTCGTGTAATCAATGAAGCACAGGTAGAGGGTCTTTTTTAGTGTTCTTTTGATTTTTCCATCATCCAACATAAATTGGTAATATGATCACATGTTCCTCTTCCTATTTGAAATCCTGCTTGTGTCAAGTTTCGAAGTGTGCATTTGCTGTTGTGACCATTATCGCTTCTCTACTTGCCAATGAACCAATAGCAATAGCAATAGCAGTTAGACTTATATACCGCTTCATAGGGCTTTTAGCCCTCTCTAAGCAGTTTACAGAGTCAGCATATTGCCCCCACAGTCTGGGTNAAAAAGGGACAGAGACAAAAGGAAGGAGAGAGAAAAAGAAAACATGGCCAGCAAGCCACTCCCACCAGGTCACATGGCCAGCAAGCCACTCCCACAAAGGCCACACCCACAGAGTAGGTTCGAAAAAAAATTGAAACCCACCACTGCTCTGAACGCAGCCGATAACTAGCATACGGCTCTGGCCCCCTCTCTGCCTCCGACGCAGAGCCCTCATCAGAGCCTTCCCCAGACTCCAGGACTAGCCCATGTTCCTCCCCAACTTCCTCACTGTCTGAATCTGCCACTAGCTCCTCTGGAAGCAGATTTGGGCCACATCATCTCCCAAATCAGAAACTTTCCTTCCAGCGGGACGGGAAACGGAAAAACTACGTGGAGGATTCTCGTTTTATTTTCCAGCCTGTATATCTTAAAAAGCATTTTACAAATAGATTTCTTCTTACAATAGCGATAAATAGATATATGTATATTTATATATATATATGTATATTTTATACACAGGTCACTGGAAACACGAGTACAGTCTTGGAGTTTAAATTAAACGCAATGTTTAAACTTTGTTAAGTTCATGGATTTTGTGCATCTTTTTAAAAAATAAAATAAAATTAAGCGAAACAACCCCCCCAAAAAAGGGAAGGAAGAAAGAAAGGATGGATTTACGCAACAGACATAAGAACATAGAGGCCCAGGCATCGTGGAATTAATCTTTTCACATCATCCAAAGGATGTTTAAAATTAAACGTGGATGGCTAGGAATTTGGGGGGGTGGGGGCTTTCCCTGATCCAGACACCCGTGGAGCCAGTAGGGTGCATTGCCCACCTTTTAAACCCTGCACAGCATGGGGGTAACTCAACTACAGCACAGAGGGGAGGTCCCTGAAGCTTAAGAGCCCAGCCAGTGTCAAATGGGGTCTCCTGGCTCCTTTGGCCAGCCCATGGGGTGAAGGGGGGAGGGCTGGTGGCCCAGCTGCCTTGGACCAGCCTGAAAGTCACCAGAATCAGCCGAGCCCTTCCTCCACACCCTAGCTGACCTGTGGCGAGATTGTCAAAGTTTCTTTGGGATGAACATGGAGGGAGGGAGAGATTGGGCACGTCTGGGCAGGATACGCTCTGCCCCCCCTCCCAACTGCCAAAATTCCCTAGGATAAGAGGGAGCACGGCTGTCATGGGGAGGGAGGGGGGCAACGTGACGAGAAATGAGGGCAGTGTGCCAACCGGGGCAGGGGAGAGAGACGCAGAAGGAGCAATGAGGGCAGTGTGCCAACCGGGGCAGGGGAGAGAGACGCAGAAGGAGCATCGGTGGCAAGGCCAGCTGGAGAAATGGAGACGGGGAGTGGGGGAGCTGATCCAGGCGTAATCCAGATGGTGTTCCATAAACATCTCCACCCCTGGAATCTCCTCCGCGTGCTGAAACACCGTCCAGAGATCCGGAGATCCAGAAAACTTCTACTTGCAGCTCCTTCCCCGGCAAATGGCGTGACTGCCGGCCTCTGCGATAGGAAAGCCAAGAACAGCCCGAAGGCTCTCTGCCTCCGCCACCGTAGCCAGTCCAGACGGCCTCCGCGGATGGACGGGGACGGTGGGAAACACACAGGCCTTTCTCCGTAGTGCTCCGCGATTGTCCACCATTTTGACTCCACAGGGTTTGGGTTAGGGATGGAATTGGGGAAGGGGGCATCTCGGAGCCCAGCTCATGGAAGAGGGGAGGGAAGAAATTGAGGCCAGAGGCAATGCCCGGCTTGTCTTGCACCGTGAGGGAAGGAATTCGCCACACGGACGTGGCCTGGAGGGTCGGAGAGAAGCAGCGGCTTAAAAGGGAGGATCAGGAGAAGCAGGATTTGCTGGTCGGAGAGGTCGTCTTTGTTCCGAGACGAAGATGGGACTTCTCCACCGTTGCCTCAGCTTGTGCTTCTTTGCTGTGAGCTGTCGGAGAAGGGCAAAGGAAGTGTCACCCCTCCCCCTCCAGATTCAGGATGGAGGGGGAGGGGCTAAAAGGTAGAGGGTACAAGGGAGCAGAAGGGAATCAGCAGAGATAGGGAGTAACGTTTGTGTGTGTATGTGTGTGTGTGTGAGCGAGAGAGAGGGGGGGGAAAGAGAGAGAGAGGGAAGGAGAGAAAGAGAGAGAGAGAGAAAGAGAGAGAGA